GAAGAAGAAGAAGAAGAAGAAGAAGAAGAAGAAGAAGAAGAAGAAGAAGAAGAAGAAGAAGAAGAAGAAGAAGAAGAAGAAGAAGAAGAAGAAGAAGAAGAAGAAGTGGAATGCTTCATGATATCCGCTCATAAATAACCAACCCAAAATTTATGATTCTAGTATTTTTGCAAATAAAAATAATTATTTCAGCAATTGTACAAATATTTTTATACTAGATGTATTTTTGTAAATAAAATGAAATAATATAGTGGAGGATATAATTTTCTCTATATACTTTTGCTTTTAAGCTATGTACCCGGCATTTTTTTTAAGGGCTTTAACTCCATTTTTCTTTCTCTTTATTAAACACAGAAAAAGCCCTTCCTTAGGTCCCTCGTGTTGTAGTTACATGGTATGGCTAAGGCTCCGCTTCTCTTCGGGATCGCGCATCAGTTGCAACGATTCGATAGATGGCTCATTGGGATAGATGTATGTAAATGAACAAGACCCCCCCTAGAACCGTATAGGAAGTTTTCTCCTCGTACGGCTCGCGAAAAATGATTTGATTCGCAGTTTTGTCTATGTAACATTTTGTCTGCATAATTTAAAATACTAGTGCATATTATACGGCGTTGCCGTATAATTATTGGCATGACAGAGGAAATAAATTGATCAAAAGAGCATTAGTTATCCCACAGATTTCAAGCCATCACAATTTGATATTCACAGAAATACAATTATTTTTCCATATAGTTATTCGCATGGCATACGTAAGTGAACTGCAAGTCAATTGATCAAATCAATATTATTCATCCCACATAATTTCAAGCAAACAATGAATATTAAAACTGAAATTTAAATAATCGTGAAAAATAGTGGGCATGTCATGAATTTAATGAATAGTTGGCATTTCAAATCCAAATAAAAAAAAAAAGAAAAAAAATAGTGTTTGCGATCAGCTAAAATTATATACACACATCAATTATTAGCCAACCAAAACCTTTAATAAAATTGAATCCTAATCAATTGTTTTGTGGGCATGCAAGAGATTTTAATAGTGTTGTGAACAAATAAATCATATTCAGCTCCCATTAATCAACCAATGGCAATGAAACATTCAGATAAATTTGCACTGCTATATTCTAATTCCCAGAGCGAGCGTAGCAGGAGACTAGGAAGAACAGAACCTCACATTTTTTTAACGGGAGATTCTACGGCCGTTACGGAACCATTCTTGATCTAACGGTTGCGAATCTCGACGGAATAGTTCCGTAACAGGACTGTAGCATTTTCCTTTATTAACACATATACGCAATCAAACAATATGGTTCAACCGTCCAAGAACCCTGATCCACGATACCGATTATCCAAAAGAATTTATTATTTCAACAGCCAACGCAAAATAATTGAAACATGATTCAATTCAATCAAATATATGCAGACAAATTCGAACATCATCATCGAAAAGATCACTAATGAATTCTCCAACATTAAATTTGCAAATAGATTGAAATAATTCGATTCTTAACCAAGCATGTCATCAATTCACTAAGGGGATTGAAAAAGTACCTTGATGTAAAGACACGATTCGTTCATAGGGCAACACCAACAAATTATTTAGAGCGTGCTAATAATGTGTTGTAAATGGAAATCCTCAAGCATCCATCAATCCAATTAAAACATCCACAAAGCATAGAGGGACATAGTAACTCTTATTAATCGATGTCATCACTTTTATAAGTACAAGATAGGAACATAAACCGTAATCACCCTAGCTAATGGGCTTCAGGCCCAATAAGTATTTTAGTAATGTCCACATGAAAATATTTATAACAATATTTTCCTCAATAAAGAAACATAAAAAGCATATAGTGTAGTATGTATGTAATAATTGATAAAACAACAGTGAAGTTAACCGAAAAGATCGACTCCCCCTGAAAGTTGATATTGAAAGTACAGGCAACATAAGAAAATCATTCTCGGTCTCAAAATATCAAATGAGATGAAATTACTACTGTGCACAAAGCACCATGGCCTATTACAACACCGATCAATAGCTTAAGCAAATTGTAAGCATGTTGCATTGAAATTCGTCCTTGATCACCAGCAAAAACCCCACCTGAGAGAGAGAGAGAGAGAGAGAGATTTTGAAATTATAGCAGAAAAACCTTATTCATCCAAAGCAGAAAAAACTCAGTACACATCGCCACCATCCATGATACCGGTAACACCATCAAAAGCCCATAGATCCAAGGTATTCCCACCTTCACGAGTCGCATCACCATTGAGAAGTGCATCAATCGAGACATCCCAGTTGTTATCAAGATAAGGCATTTGAAAAATATCCTCGTTAATTTCATTAATATTCTCATCACCAAGCACAAATTCCTCTGAATTCGACTTCACGTTCTTTGGCGGGCATGATTCCTCCAAAATTTGAGCTTGGTTGTTTTTACCAACAGCAGCTGCAGGGACAGATGATATTTCGGGACTCTTGGCACAATTTTCGGTCCAACCAATATCTGAGCAGTCGAAGGTATTACTGCCCTGATCTGAGCTCAAGTGAAAAAGTTTCGAGTTCGAACCAATATCACAGGAGGCAAGTAGTTTCTTTTGTGGTTTTTCGTCAAGGAAATTCAAAAAACTATCATAATCAGTATTAAGCATGCCTGCAAAACCAGTATCCATGTTTGAATTGTGCTGAATGGGTCTTGTACCTTTTATGGGAGGGAGAACTTGGGATTTCAGTTTAACTGTTTGTTTTGAGCTAACAGAAGACAGTGCAGTATCTTCAGGAAAATTCACCTTGGCTTTCTTTCCCCTGATTTTACGGGCCTCGATATCATAAGCTCTAGCAGCTTCCTCAGCTGTGTTATAAGTGCCAAGCCAAACTCGGACACCTTTGCTTGGGTCACGGATTTCGGCAGCCCATTTACCCCACGGGCGTTGACGAATGCCTCTGTACTGAGTTTTTCTCTTCCTTTTTGAGGTTTTCTCAGCGGAATTATTGCATTTATTAGTGTCTGCAGACTTCAAACCTGAAGAGATGGTTTAAATCCAAGAGTTGTGATTCAAGGTAAACATAATGCATATGCATTGAAAAGAAGGTCAAGATAAAAACATGAAAGCAGCAGAGTGAATAAGCGGACAGATATACTCGACTGTTCGGCTTCACATGAACCCTTGCTAGTTAAAATTCTGGATGTTTTAAGAAAGACAAGGAAAATATTATATATCCAAACTGATTTTATCAGATATCTAGTTTTTCATCCTGGATATGTTTTTCATCTCCAACATAAAGATTAGGTATGGAATCAAAGTTGGCAAAGAGACCACTAAGTGATATTAAGACAAGTAGTTGAAGATGATGTATAAACTGTAAGGGGTTGAAACTATTTAGAGGTCGTATTTTTTTCCTTTCTTGAAATATCAAGCCTTCATCCATGAAACGAACAAGACGTATATTTACCAAGTAATTCTACTAAATGTTAAATTTGAAAAGATATTCAAATATCTGAGTAGTGAAACATAAATCTGGGTGGAACAACTAAATCACCAGAATTAACCATGAAAAACATAATCAGCACACAAAAAATAATTCCAGGTACATAACAATAAGCCAAGCGACACATTTTACTTTCGTCTCATCAAACGTCTCAACACTCGTAGAAGGAAAATCCGTAATCAATCCAAGCCACCAAAATACCTTAAACAAGATTCACCCGGCGAAAAGGGTTCTTGTCAACTATTTCTTTCATTTTTTTTAACAATGTCTCAACATTGGTTAAAAGCCTCAAACACAAGAAAAAACATTAGATCAAAATTTCACCATAAGATCACATTCGCATTTAGCAAATGAGCTACAATGCAACCACAATCAACGAAATTACTTGCGCCTTTGATAAAAAGTTACGATATAGGCTGCATAAAGACTGAAACTTAATCCCAAATTTTTTTTCCACATCTTAACCAGCAAAATAAAAACCCAGAAAACATACACTCCAAGTTTGAAAATGATGTACAATGCAAGTAACCACCAATAAATCAAATTTTCTATTGAAAAGTTAACAAATGGACATCAACCCTTTGCAATTTCAGTCCAAAAATCACATCTCAACAGCTTAAACAGCATTCGTTAGCACAAATCAACCCTGTAACTCTCTGATCATGAAAAAAAAGAAAAGCAAATTATTAATCAAACACTTCAACAAAGCTAATCCAATGCTTAATTAACAGGGGAAAAAGGAAATAACCATTTACCCTTAAAGCTAGAGTTCTTCGCAGCAGATAAAGCGAACGGCCTTTTCAAATCGATCTCCTCTTCGTCATCGGTATAGCAATCCTCAAATTCCTGAAAATCGGCTTCGAACTCCTCGTCAAAATCAACAGACGACTGATACCTCAGCGGCTTCGTGCGATAGCTCGTAGGCCGCTTGTTCTTGCTGTTAAAAGAAGGATCGGCTGCGCCCCAAAGCAACTCGGGTGTGAGCCGGCGCGACAATCGGCTCGCCGGCGGCACGAAGTCGGAGATGATGGCTCCTCCACACATTTTCAAGCTAAACTTTTTTTCTCCTCAGCT